GATGGTGCATCACTGCGAGGTGTGACATCAGACAAAAGTTGAGCCTTATCAGGTGTGATAAGGGGCTAAACTTTTTCGATCGTTTTCGGCCCTTCGTACGGTGAAGCCAACGTACCAGGGGAACTTTTAATTCGGAAAGTGCGCGTAGATGGTGCATCACTGCGAGGTGTGACATCAGGCAAAAGTTGGGCCTTATCAGGTGTGATAAGGGGCTAAACTTTTTCGAACGTTTTTGGCCTTTCGTGCAGTGAAGCCAACCTACCAGGAGAATTTTTAATTCGGAAAGTGCGCGTAGATGGTGCATGACTGCGAGGTGTGACGTCAGACAAAAGTTGAGCCTTATCAGGTGTGATAAGGAGCTAAACTTTATCGACCATTTTCAGCCATTCGTACGGTGAAGCCAAGGTACCAGGGGAACTTTTAATTCGGAAAGTGCGCGTAAATGGTGCATGGCTGCGAGGTGTGACTTCAGACAAAAGTTGGGCCTTATCAGGTGTGATAAGGGGCGAAACTTTTTTGACCGTTTTTTTGGCCATTTGTGTGGTGAAGCCAATGTACGAGGGGAACTTTCAATTCGGAAAGTTCACATAGATGGCGCATCGCTCTAATGTTTAACGTCAGGCAAAATTTGACTTATCGGGGGTGATAAGGGCCTCAACTTTTTTTTACTGTTTTTGAGATCTATTGCAGTGAAGCCAACGCATCAGGAAAAGCTTGCCGATTATAAGCTACCTATTGCAAATAAGACGGTTGAAAAATTTTAGTGTCATGCTGCTTAAGAGTTGGAGGTTTCCCTAATGCATTGGATTCACCGCAATAGATGCTTTAAAGGAGTTTTAAAAATGGAGCCCATTATCACTTACGGTAAGGCTCAACGAAGGCAAGCAAGTTTCTGAACCATACGAGTGTTTTATACTTACCGAGCGAGAAACTGTCATAGCAGTAGTGAGATTCGAACGCAGTCCCTCACGCTCCAAAAGCGACTGCTTTAACAACTTAGCTGAGCACCTACGCTTTCTCGGCTCGAATACTTCTGAACATATATGGGTGTTTCCCTGCAACACAGCAAGAAATATTCTTACAGCCATACGAGATTCAAACCTAGTGCCTCGCGCTTCGAGGGCAGGTCTACTGAGCCAGGTGTGTTATTGCATTCGCCCTTCGAGCGACGGAGATGGGCAAGCTCGTTTGATTTTTTCGTCGGCTGCGCTCAGAACACCCGCTGACGCGCTTTTACCAGTGGTAGAACATACAATGCGAGGAGGGTATGTCATCAATCTAGACGTTATGCGAGACATCACGGCGACGGCAAAAAAAAAAAAAAAACCGGCGAGAGTCTTCATATATTCGCTATCGCAATAAAGAAACTTTCATCACAGCCATGAAATTCGAGCCCAGTTCCTCATGCTCCGAAGGCCTCATGCTCCGAAGGCCTTAACTATTGAGCGAAGCTTGAAACTTTATGTCCAAAAAGTGGCCTCCGAGATTAACTCCGGCTGCCGGAGATAATATCTGGAGGCCACGGCTAGGATAAAAAAACGCGTTAGCGAAACCTCCGTTCGCCGTCACGTGGTAAGATCACGTGACTTGAGCGGTAACGTCACGCATGGCCTGGACGTGACGTTCCAGGAAAGGGAGGTCGAAGACGAGAAGAAAATCAAGATGGTTTTTCACCTTTGAGACGCCTCAGGCGAATGCGCGAGAGACCCTGTAATCTTTAAAAGTGCGGCAGGCCCATCGTCAAGGTTGACCCTAAGCTCATAGTGGGTAGGCTCCCCGCTTTTATTCGTAGACTCGCATTCTAATACGAACCTCGTCATTCTAATACGAACCTTGTCGTCATTTGCTGCATCGCATATCAAACCTGCCCATCGCATTTTTCCGCGTCTAGATCACCCTTTCAAAGTCCTTCCCTTGTTTGCCCGTACTCTTCTTCGTCAATCCCCATTGTTCTTGGCCATCTTTCATTGGAATCGATTACCAGAAGATGTTGCCACAATTCATAATCACGATTTGTTTGTAAACCACTTGAAGCGATTTTTATTATCAGAGCCATGAACCATGTACTATGTGCCCTTGCTTTGTATTTCTTTTCTATTTATTTTTGTTTGTGTTACATGCCCGCTCTTGACTGTGTTTGCTCTTGAATTGAAATGTACTCAACACATTGTTTTCCCCCCCCCCCCCCACTATGTAATGCCCTTCGGGGCCTTTAGGGTATCTGAATAAAAAAAAACCTGGCTCTGCAGTGTTTTTAATCTTTTGTGCTTCTCCACTACTTACCTTGTTGATTTTATTATGTCTCCGTCATTGGAAGCAAAGGTCAGCAACCGGCGGCTCGTGGCCAACATGCTGCGTGCTAGGCAGTTCTATGTGGCCCGACATAACGTCAGGACACCTCCACGCCTTTCTGCGTCTGTCGGTGAGCAACCTTGATGATGTCACGTGGGTGTTGGCTAAGAATATTCAGCCCCAAAAGTCAAATCGAAAGACTTGTTTTTTTATTATAACCTTTGTTGACGATCCGCCACGGTGGTCCAGTGGCTAAGGCACTGAGCTGCTGACCCGCAGGTCACGGGATCAAATCCCGGAAGCGGCGGCTGCATTTTCAATGGAGGCGAGCATGGTGTAGGCTCTTGTGCTCAGATTAAGGTGCACATTAAAGAACCCCAGGTGGTCGAAATATCCAGAGCCCTCCACTATGAAGTCTCTCATAATAATATGGTGGCTTGGGGAAAATGAACCACAAATATTATAGTAACATTTGTTGACGAACTGCAACATTGTTACATGCATGCTGAATATAAATATTCACTTCTGTTCCAGTTTTGCATATCATTATTGCTTAAATAATTGCTGTGAGAAGAAGAAATGGTCATGGGAAGGGCACGCAGCGCAATGGCAAGATAACGGATGGTCATCAAAGATCACAGACTGGATTCCAAGAGAAGGCAAGCGGGTGAACGGGAGACGGAAAGTTAGGTGGGCAGATGAGATTAGGAAGTTTGCGGGTAGAAAGCGGTAGAAGCAAGCACAGGACCGAGTCGACTGGCCGTACATGGGAGAGGCCTTTTTTTCTACTGTGGGTGTAGTCAGGCTAACGATAATGATAATTGCTAACTCACCGAATTTTCTTTACGCTGTCACTACTAGTAGGCGATTTTCTAAGAAACAACAAGTCACATATTTGATTCATTTATTTATTTGGCGTCTCAAAAGGTCACACACAACTATCAGCGCTTCTTTAGCGTTTGCCACTCAATGACGTGTGTCTACCATAAAAAAAATTATCTGGGTGTCAGAGTGACAAATGCAGTATGCATGTTCATTTTGAGAGCAACAGAGTTTTTTCTAAAGGAGGGGGGACGAGGCATATTAGGCGGCTCGTGACACCACAGCGATGTCAAAGTTTCCATGATATCTTAGCCATTTCATTAATTCGTGATACTCTAAGAAACCTTGCCAAGTTTTTGATAGATGAACGTACTGCACTCTTCGTTATCCTATGAAAGTCAATAACCACTTATAGACCCGGTTTAATGACACTCGCGGTCTCTGACTTCACGAATGACTGTGCGGTTCTATCCAAGCCACAGCATAGAAGGAATATAACCTCCCGACTGATCGCGTGACAGGCCGCGATTTCAAGGACACGTGCCTGGCAAATAAGTCAGTGCCTCCCAGCTCTCCCGTTGAACACTATCGTGCGTGCCTTTTCTGGTAATTCACATGATAGACCTGACTGTTATTTCCCTTAAAAATAGCCACATCTCCTTGCCACAAATAGTTAGTGCAACAACGCCCAGTGCATGTTTAAAGCTATAGGTGCGTAACATTTCTAGAAACACTTCTTTCCGAAGTGTGTGTGGTGAGATGGATTTCTAATTGATTCTACTCGGAACTATAGACCTTTTCACAGACACGGAAGGTTCACAAGGACCAGTGCACAAGGACAGTGTACAAGGACTGAGTTGGTCCTTGTGAATCCTTCGTTTTTTTCTTCTTGTTGTGTGTGCAAAAGTTTCAGTGTGCAGCCAAACCAACTAGCCCGCCTTCTCGTAATATTCCTGTGAAATGCTTTATAGACCGGACAATTTTCGACTTGCACCTACATTTATGGAAAGCTTATGTAATCCCTCACATCAGTTATCAATTGTTGGTGCAGCCAGCACAGCAAGTTGCTAGTTTGTTTAACAACCCAGCTAGAGTTTTTTTGTATAGAAAGCATATGAATTAACTTTAGACCCACTTGTTGGTGAGCGCACTCTGGGGCTTTCAAGAAGTGGGAGGTGCCATGTCTGCCTCATACATTTACTCACTGGGATCTGTACCATCATTGTTTAAGGACAGGATTTTGGCCATATTGGCAGCTGAGCAGCCCTGATATTGAACTCAAAGATCCGTTTAGCTCCCACTCGCTCCCGGATAGGCTGTGAGAAACAAGTCAATGCATCACTTTCATTTTTGCATTCCTGGCAAAGCTTGCGTTTTTTAGGACTTAATTAACAAAGGAACATGCCCCCCCTGCTGAGTAGAATCCTGAACAAGCCTCTGTGGACAGGATGAATGTTGTGCCGATTATTAGCTGACCCGAAGCACCCCGTCCAAAGATGGATGCCGCATACAAGCATTGAATGTGCCAGTTTGTGCTCTCAGTCAAGCGTGTTATCCTGCTTTGCGCAACTTGTAGCGAAGCGAATGTCGTGCCTACAGTAAACCTAAGTCTAGCTCTCCATCTGCCTTTCTTTTCGCCAAGTCTACAACACCCATGTGCGAGGACACATGTACGATTTCTAGCTTTCTGCAGTATTCTGAAATCATCTTGACTAAGACCTCGGGTATAAGAAAAAAAAAAAGGAAACTCCCTGAACTACGAAAACTCTTTGAAGCGTGCACATGTACCGTGTGTTCTGGAGTTACAAACGTTACTGTACTTGTGAACCAAAAAACAGACGTTTGTTTAGAACAGGCGTGGAACAAAGTAACGTGTCCAAGCTACCTCAAATGACAAGAGCTTTTTTTAAGTAATTGCAAGTGGCTATTCATACGAGAGAAAGCAGATCCCAGACGTTGTCACTTCTTTCACAGCAAAAAAATCAAAGTCTGGCATTCCAGGACTCTTGGGTCACTAGTGAGGCTTACATCTTGAGCTCTCCATTAGGCTCCATTGCATACTCGCTCTTTCAGTCTACAACGTGGATTTGTGAAAAGGTCGGGCACCACCAAAACGTTCATTTTAACATCCCAAAAAGACAAAAAACAACAGAAGGTGCAGAACAAGCTGCATCAGTGCCTGTCCTGTACCTTCTCTTTATTTGTCCTGTTCTTTTTCTGTGTGTCTAAAATGAACGTATAACAGGTAGCCAGCATCTCATCGCTTTGCCAGTTCATCACCAAGATGCACCCATGGCTCCTAATACCATTCCACAAGCATGCAGCAGTTTCTGCCAACAGAACACATCTTCTGCGGTCTTTGATGGTATCCTGGAAACTTAAATAAAAAGAACGAGTTCGTTTCCAAGTCGATTCAAATACAGGACAGTAAAGAAAAAAACAAAAATGGTTGTTCATTTGCCTCTCAGAATCCAGCGGTTCGGAACCACTCTCGGAAGCTGGCACACATCACACACACGCACAACGATCACACGACAGTCGACGAGAAGCAAGTCTTCTTCAAGGCACATCTCTCGGGTCCTCTGTCTCGTCTCTCTGGACCACGATGTCAACCTCTAAAGCCTCGAGTCGGCCACTTCTCCAGGATCCTCAAAGGCAACCCGTCTCTGCTCGACCGCCCTGAGCAGCTTCTTCCTGGGTCCCAGGGGCACGCCCATGGTCTTGAGGTCTTCCTCACCCAGTAGTGTCAGGGCATCCAGGTCCACCTTCTCCCTCGAAAAGAGGTCCACGTACTCGGCCAGGCCGTGAGCCGCCAGGAACACCACGATCGCTGGTGGGGTCCCGCCGCCGTCTTCCTCTTCATCCTCTTCGTCTTCCTCGTAGTATACGTCCTCGACGTCTTCCCAGGGCAGGACGCTCTGCCTCTGGGCCAGACTGCCAGCAGAGCCGATGGAGTCGACGACGCTCCCGCAGGGCAAGGCGATGCTGCCCACCTCTTCGTCGTCGATGCGACACGAAGGCAGGGACAGCAGCGTGCCCGAGATGGAGTTGCGAAACGCGACGCTGCCGAAGCCCGGGCGCTCAAACATGCTGGAACCCGTGGTCGGCTCGTCCTCGCCAAGACCGGAGTCCGGGTGTGCGCCCAGGTCCGGTTCGCTGATGGCCCGCGAGAGATCGCCCGGTGCCGAGCTGTCTTTGAGAAAGTCCGGAAGACCCGGTCGCGAGGCTGGGGAAAGCAGGGGCTCCTCGGCCGTGCCCTTGGGCACGAAGACAACCTCGGCGTCCCGCTGGAGGCCCGTCAGCGACCGGATCGACTTCTTGCCGTCGTTGTCCAGGGTTCGCACCTGCGTCGGTTCAAATGAAGAGTCGACAGAGTCGTTTTAAGCGCTACGCAAAGACACATGGAACGAACAATGCAAGGGACACGTACTTCACACAGCCGCGTGTATTACTCGTGGTCCGTGTACGTTACCAGGTTCATTCTGCTCACGCCACGCTTAACAACCCTGTGATCTCTCAGACAAACAAGACATTAACCAAGCTTTAAAAAACGTTCCCAGGAGTCTATAGCCTTCTTTAGTGCAACAGAAAGCGTACCAGCCATAGTGTCTGATCAAGGAGTATACACGCAAAAGGCCGCGAAATGCACACTAGTTGCTGTGAATGCTGTGCCGGTTCTCAGCTTCAACTACCTTTATTTCTTAAGCAGCATAGAATAAAGCGGCGATGGATAATATACACTAGGTAATTCTGAAATGCCATTTTGTTGCGCATGAAAGTACTGCGAAATGAGCGACTCCATGTACAGCTTCAAAGTTCTCCAGCTGAGCTGCACGACACAGCGGGTTTTTTTTGCGAGTTTTAAACATGACAATAAAATATGAACAACACACAGAATGTCATAGGTTCGCTCCCTTCCAGCAGCAAGTCATATCTATTCATCCACTTTTCTTTATTCGCATTTGCATCATAGTTGCTGAAAATGCCATCCTCGTACTTTCCTAGGCTTTCCTGTTCATTAGTCATGATTAACGTCAAGCTTAACAAAAAAAAAAACAAGCCCTTCAAATCCCCCTTCTTTCGTTCTTACAAGTTTATTATGGGACTATTACTTCGGCCAATGTTTACCACTGTTGTGCCAATATCGGCCCAGTTCCGGCGAGCCACCTAGAAAGTCCTTTTCGTGAACTTCCCAACTTTGTATTTGAAGAAAGCAGTTAAACATGGTTTTAGATATCAAGCTGACGGCATATTTACAATAGTTATAGCAATAGGAAAGCATAGCGCGACAGAGACAAGGGAGGAAGAAGACATACCACACACGAGCACTGTCTTCCTATTGCTATGAATTAACTCGCCAGGGTCAAAGTCTTAAGGCCTGAACACATGCACTTGTTGCAGTGCGAGGCTTTCAGGCGTGGCACCGCCTCCTCTCCCAGTGCAGAAAGAGAGCGAGCAGCTACCCGAAACTGCGTGCCCTCTCTCAAGGGGAGAGGCGTCAAAAAATCACAGCACGTCCACGGGGTGAATGATTTAAGAGTTTGGTGCGAAGCCCGTGAAGCAGTCATAATTACAGCGTGAAATCTTCAATAGTTTTACCCAGCAAATCAAAGTGATAGCACTTCAATGGTTTCGCCTAGCAGCTAGTAATCAAGGCGATAGTGTGTGCGAAATTTTATTCAAACTTCGACGACCCATTGTCTTTTTGCCTTCATGATTACCGCCCTGTGGTCGTTAAAATGGAGCGATAGGGGTCCTTGCTCGGGCGTGACATTTAAAGTTTGCAAAGGCGTCGTCTATGCACATTCTCCTGTCCGTGGTGGGGTTCAGCCGACGAGCACGAGCCGCAACAGCCTTCCGCACTTGGCGCCCCTTGTCGTCCATGCACGATCCGACAAGCGCACTCGTACAGCGATGATCTGGGGAATGACAGCTCGCCACCCGGCGCAACCCCGCGCAGCTGCCAATCGGAGAAGAGCTGCACCGCTAATGCCGTCTAGCGTACCTTCGCCCAGCCGCCATATTGCACGCATGTTTATGGGCCGGCGCCCCGTCAAAAATGAGACGAGAGATTGAGATGACGGATGGATGGATGGATGGATGGATATGGCTGTACCCTTTAGATCGGGCGATGGCTAGGGCCACCAAGCCGTAATACTTGATGAACCAAAAACTAGATTTTTTTTTTCTTTAAAAACTGAGTTTGAGAATTCGTACTTTGCAGTGAAGGGTTTAATTTTCACTCGTGCCTTGACTTTAGCCACCAATCAGATAACCTCCTTCTAGTTAAGTCTACCCGCTTAAAGTCTATTTTGCCCTCCCGAACCCTAAATTCCAGTGCTTTGAAAAACTCTGCGCCATCATCCTGAACTACAGGGTGAAGCCCTTTACAGAGCATTATCAAGTGTTCGGCAGTTTCTTCTTCCTCTTCACACGCACTGCATACTGTGTCTACACCTTCGTATTTGGCCTGATATGTCTTGGTTCGCAGTACTCCCGTCCTGGCCTCAAACAGTAGAGAACTACCCAGAGTATCATCATAGATCCTTTCCTTGGCAATTTCCTGCTTAAAAGTTCGATAGATCTTTAGTGCGGACTTCTTAATCATGCCCTTTCTCCACATGTCAGTCTCCGTTTCCTTCACTTTCTTCTTAACCGATAGTTCTTTTTGGTTTGGCCACCTGCTGTTTTCTAAGTATTTACCAGTCAATTTCCTGGTTTGCTTCCTCCATTTTGTATCGACATTCTTCGTGTACAAGTAGCTGAAAACCTTCCTAGCCCAACGCTCCTCCCCCATTTCTCTCAATCGTTTCTCAAATTTTATCTTGCTGCTAGCTTCCCTGCCCTCAAATGATGTCCATCCCATATCACCTTGTACTCCCTGATTTGGTGTATTCCCGTGAGCTCCTAAAGCAAGCCTACCTATTCCACGTTGCTTAATTTCTAATCTTGCTTGAACTTGTGATCTCATACACAAGACCGCATTGTCGAACGTCAGCCCAGAAACCATGACCCCTTTCCATATTCCTCTCACAACATCATACCTATTGTAATTCCACAGTGCCCTATTTTTCATCACTGCTGCATTCTTGTTACCTTTAGTCGTCACGTGTATTTCGTGTTCCTTCAGGTACTTGGTCCCATTGCTTATCCATACGCCCAGATATTTGTATTTATCTGTTATCTCTAGCGTGACCTCCTGTATTCTAAGCTCAATACTTCGTTGTAATTGAAAATCAAGACTGCTGATTTTTCCTTACTGAGTCTAAAATCTAACCTATCTCCCTCATCACCGCAGATATTTATCAATCTCTGCAAATTTTCCTTGTTGTTGGCCATTAGCACTATATCATCTGCGTACATTAATGCTGTTAGTGCCTGATCAATGAGTTTTCCTTGTTTGACTAAAAAGAGGTTGAAGCCCAGTCCACTTCCCTCAAATTTGGCCTCTAATCCTTGTAGGTACATCATGAATAATAAGGGTGACAGGGGACACCCCTGCCTAAGCCCCCGTTTTACCTCTGCAGGCTTCGATACCTGTTTTTCCCACTTTAAACTACCTTGTTACCTTTATAGATATCCTTTAAAAGATTAGTGACTAAATGTTCCACGCCTAGTGTGTCCAGTATTCCCCACAATTCCTCTTGAACCACGCTATCGTATGCTCCCTTGATATCCAAAAATGCTAGCCACATGGGCCTGTGTTCCTTTTCTGCTATTTCGATGCACTGCGCCAGTGAGAACAGATTGTCTTCCAACCTCCTGTGTTTCCGAAACCCATTCTGCAGTTCCCCCAGCACCCACTCAGTCTCTATCCATGCTTGCAGTCTTTCCTTTATATTCTGCATCGCCAGCCTGTAGACCAATGATGTCACTGTTATAGGACGGTAGTTGTTTATGTCAGCTTTGTCCCCCTTTCCTTTATAGATCATGCTCATCCTGCTAAGTTTCCATCCATCGGGAACTTCCCCATCGATTATTATTTTGTTGACTGCCTCTCTCAAAGCCTGCTTAGACTTCGGACCTAATGTCTTTATCAGCATAATTGGAATGCCATCTGCGCCTGTTGATGTACTACTATGAATCCTTTTCTCAGCCCTTTTCCACTCTCGTTGTGACAATGGAGCCATTGCACCACTTGATTCGTCCTTGTCTATTGTGGTGCATAAAGTACTTATGTGTTGAAATTTTTCTGTCACCTTTGTTCTTATATATTCAATGGCTTCATCCCCTTCTAGCCTAGCACCTTGGGCTGTAGTTATAAAACTCTGCTCTAGGCTCGTCTCATTTCTTAGGGAGTTTAGATGGTTTCAAAATTTCGCAGCTGCCTTTCTATCTTTTTTATGTACTTCTGCCAGCCACTGAGCTCCCTTTCTTCTAATCCTTTCATTGATCAGAAGAGATGCATCCCTTCTACAGCTTAGAAGGGTTTCCCATTTTCTTTCAACATCATCTGTCGGTTCACTCCGCTGCTTAGCATGTCTGTGTTCCCTAGAGGCTTCCCGACGCTTTGCTATGGCTCTCTTAACTTTCTCATCCCACCAACTTTTGGGTTTGTGTCTTCTTTTCCAGGGTGACTTGTCACGCGTCTTAGCAAGCTCTAGCTCAAAGAGTCTAATTAGATTCGTGTATGTCCACATTGTCTTATTATCCTCTGTGATTACTTTTCAATTTGTTTAGTGGCTATTTCAATTCGCCTTTCTGGATAAAAATTTTCCTGTAGTTGCTCATCTTGTCTCCTTCCCACTTTCACTGCTCTTCCAAAGCTTAGCTTGATACGTTTGTGATCACTACTTAGACTTCTGGAGCGACCTTCATCTATGTGCATTCCCCTGAGCTTATCATACATCCTATGTGACATCAGTGCATAATCTATCGTCGACTGCAGCCTTCCTACCTCTTATGTTATTTGCCCTTCACACTTCTCGGTACTGTTGCAAATGATCAAATCAAGCCTTTCACACATATCCATGATCATTTTGCCTGTCGGGTCGGTATACCCTTCTATATCTTCTACGTGCGCATTCATGTCTCCTAGTATAATTATCTCGCACTCTCTTCCTAACTCCTGAATGTCCTTTGATATACACTCTACCATTGCCTGGTTTTCCTCTCTGGCCTTTGCTCCCGTCCACAAGTACACGAAACCAAGGAGTGTCATTTGACCTGCCACTTTCCCTTTTAGCCATAAATGTTCCTTGCACTCCTGCTTGACCCTTTGCCAGTCTGTACTTTTATGAATGAATGCCCCAATACCAACCCCCTTTCTGCTGCCTTCTGTTCTATTACAATATTCCCACGCGTAGTCCGGATTGTTCGGAGGTTGTTCCGTGTCCCTGAGATGTGTTTCTACAAAACCGTATACCATTGGCCTCTCTTCCCTTAGCTGTTCTTCTATCTCTTCCCACTTCAGCCCGTTCCTACCACCCTGCATGTTAATATACCCTATGTCTGAATGGGCTCGGCGCTCGTGGCTTCGTCTATTTATGCCCCGGACTCTACCTATCTTAGACATTGGTGCCACTTTGGAATCGTATCTGTCCATAACACCTGTCAAAGAGTCTCCCTGGTTGTTTTCCTCGTTACTAGCTATCCTGCACCCAGAAGGGCTCGCTTGCCCCCCAAAAAAGCTACTGCGCATCCTGCAAGTCGCCAACCCACCTCATGACCTAGCCGCCCATCGAAGTGAATTCTGTCTCGTTGAAAACCACCCCACCTATGCACCTCTCTGTTTATTTTCACCACCTCAAAGCCTTTCTCTCGACTCATCCGCCATATCTCTTGGTTTGCGCTGACAACCGCTCTTTGCAGGTTGCTCTCACGTACCGGTACCTCCGGTATCGTGCATATCACTACCTGTACCTTAGGAGAAGTGGCGCGCATGTCATCGACACCTTTCGCCAGTGTGGCTGCTAGTCCTGCTGTATCTTGATTTAAACCGCCTGAAATTATCACGAGGTTTCGTCTATCAGCTGTAGTTTTGAGTTTTGCGCTCGCTTGCCTCATGACTGCTTCAAGCTTGCGTCCTGGGAACGCCCCTACTGCAACCCTCTTGTCACCTCTTACCCTCTATTTGATGGCTTCTGTGCATCGATTTAAATTCGAGTCCACGGCGATTATCACATGCTGTGACTTTTCAGCTGGATCGTCCTGCACCTGGGGGCTACTTGCACCTGTGACGCCGGCTGCTTTGTCCCCTCCCAGCCCCACCACTACCTCGCTGAAGCTGGGCCTTGAGACAATTGAACCGGCTGAACCCGTTTTTTCCAAACTTGCTTGCTCTTCCTTCTCCACCATTCTGGTTGCCGGTTTCCTACTGTTCTGTCCGTAGGCCTGCTTCTTTGTTCAGCTTCACTAGTGCTTCCTCGGCAGACTTCAGTCTTTCTCCCATTGCCCTCGTTTTCTCTTGCTCTGTCGCCAATGCAGTCTCACGCTCGGCGATTCCCATCAGCAGTTCGCTCTGGGCAACCATCAGCTTTCTCCATTTTTTCCTCGACCTCACATTGCCTACACTTCGCGTCAGCCTCTTCTCTATCCGCTTCTACGCTTGGGTCCACTTTCAAACCCACTCCACATCCTGAACACTTTACAGTCTGTTTAGCGATGTCTTTCTGACACCAATTGTCCCTATACTCGATAATTACTGAACTCGAGCCCTGCACTACGAAAAAAAATATAGTCTAAGCTCTACTACAAAAATTTGCGTGTTCAATGTTCGCGCACCTCCCCCACGGGGTGGCAAAAAAAAAACAAAAAATTCAAACACACAAACCCGTACTAACTAATAAATACCTGGTGACTTGCCCCCGAAGAAGCCGTACCATAAAATAAGTGCTACGAAGATTTCAACCGCTGCCTTATAATTATAAAGACAAGCTCAAAACATGCAAAAACATTTATCTGCGCAGTCGATCTGGAGCGCTCAAAAAACACGTCCATCCACCGTGACAGCCCGAACTCAGACCAGAACTCAGACACAGAATGCATACAGCGCCATCTAGTATATCGTCATCCAAGTGCAATATACACGTGCTTCTACGGGACAGCGCCTTCTATTGTACGATAAGGGAACACTGCGGGATACGTCGGATGGATTGACGATCGACAACCGACGACGCCTCGCTATAACGAGCTTCGTTTTCGAAAACCACGCCTCGAGGTACTGCAACCGGTAGATGTGGTCAGGGCGTAAGCGCAACAGTTATAGACCGGGTTTGGTGAACGCGCGGAGCCTTAGAGACGTGCCTTGTTGAATTCGCCGGGGTCGGTGTTCTGCTTGCGCAGGTGAACCTTCTTGGAGACGGCGCCGAGGCCCTTGCGACTCGAGACGGTGGTCGAGGTGCCCGTGCTGACCATGTCTGAGAACTTGGGCGCCCGCGTCGGCTGCAGGGTGCCCCGACCGTCGCCCACGTGGAGCGGAATGAGCGCACTGTGCACGCCGTTGTTGGCCTCGACGAGCAGCTCCACCTGCATCAAAGATGTTTCATTCATTGATTAATTGATCGAGATGAACTTTCTCGGCGTAAAACTACAAAATGTACTGGACACTGTGTGAAAAGACGGAACATTAGTGCAAAGAAAGCTGATCATGTTTAACTAACTGCATATGTAAACCTATGATTAGGTTTTCATTAACAGCGATTGATTCGATTGAGTCTGATAAACTTTCTTTGCGAGAATTTCATGATGAGGCTTTCATTAACGGTGACTGACTGAATGATTGATTAATTCTGATAAAAATTTGTGCGAATCTGCAGAACGCACGAAACCCGGCGATAAAGGACACACAGATCATCAGCGCAAAGAAACTTGATCGTGTTTAACTAATTAGCCCACTGTCAAGGTTTCCTGAACTTGTACCGATTGCTTGTATTGATTAATTTATTGACACTGTCTGAATGCACCGATTTAGGCGGCCATCCATCTCCTTGTGATCTCGCTCTGCCTTGGTACTGTTACGACTTGCACCACCACCGACACTGTTACGTAGTTCGCCGAGGTCACGGGCCGCCACCGTTGTTTCGTAGCGCGTTTCTCAGCTCGAGGCAGCTTCTGCGCAGAGCTGATAGACGAGCGAACAAGACGACGGTGAGTTAAGGCAAAGTTTATGTACAGCATAGAAATAGAGGCGTTCATATTCGGCACTGGAGCCGACAGCTTAGGGACTCAAAGAGCCGAGATGTTTTCTCTCTGACACATACGTGGGCTGCCTGGCAACGCGCCACTTGGCTTTTTTTATAGGCCCCGGATTAACTCTTACATCAGCCACGTCCAATCAGAAGCGCCGCTGGCCGCATTTTCGATCGAGGAGAAAATGCTTTTTAGGTCCATGTTAAGGAACCCCAGGTGGTCGAAATCTCGGGGGCCCTCCACTGCGGCGTCTCTCATAATCTTATGCTGGTTTTGGGACGTTATAAACCCGAACAATTGTTATTAACGAGAGTATGCGCCCCTAAGACAAAGTTCTGCCGACGACAATGTTACACAATGTTCACATTAGCCGAGCGAAACAAAAAAAAAACAAGGGATTCGGCAGATCCCACGTCATGTGGATATTCGGTTTCACGAGAAGCGGTCCGCGAGTTGGAAGTTCGAAGATGCATTTCTTGGCTTCGAGCGAGGCGTGACGAGGTTCATCGACGTGTCCTTGCAAGTGCGTATATAGTTGCGTGCATGCACATCGTTAGGCTTACCAGGGACGCCGACAGCATGCGGCATTTCAAGGGGTAACTTACGTCTGCTTCGACGCAGCGTGAATTCATAGGAGCACAGCTAGACGTGAGTGTTATCGAAGTGCACTTTGCGTAGCGATCATGTAAATATTGTCACGTAGTCGTGACGTGGCCGAAGACAGGAGACTTTATGTTGGGATTCGACTGCTTATTTGGGCGAACCTGTGCCCGGTAAACGGAAAGTCTGATTACAGTCGCAGTCTTGCACAAATAGCAGTGAACAGAGCATCGGCCGTCGATCAACTATCCTGACAAGCGGCGAAGTGGTGACGTATAGGTTCTATAATGATCTGTACAGTTCGCGGAGTGGGCGTGATCTTATCGAAATGATCTATACTACGGTCCTGGAGCCTCTTGAAAACTGCAGGCGCGGTTTCGCGCTGAGAATTGTGTAATGTACTGGGGCGATAACAAAACTTGAGAAACGAAACGTGGCAATATTATACGTGACCATCATTAGGGTGTTCCTTCGGGGTTGAGCAACGCTCGAATATAGCTTGCTGAATCATAGGAATGCAAATGTAACGTTTAATAATAATACTGTTAATAATAACAACAACATCAGGGGTCTTAAGTCCCATAACCACGATATGATAGACGCCGGAGTAGAGAGAGCTCCGGAAATTTCGATCATCTGGTGTTCGTCAATTTGCACTGACATCGCACAGTATATATAGACGAGCGACCGCCGGAATCGAACCCGCAACCTGCGGTTCAGCAACCCAGCACTGCAACCACTGTAGACGTCCTCGCGGCGGACAATGTTTATTAGGTTGCTCTAAGAAGAGCCACCACTGGCACCGCAGACGTTAAACCGACGTATAAATAAGCCCGTATCACAGGAGTACATATGTATAGCGTTCATTACTTTCGTTACAAAATTAGATAGCTGACGTAACAACCTCAATTGATGTTGCAGCCACGTTACGGCCGCATAGAATGTTTTCACGAAGCAGTTTCCAGGCCTGGCGTTGCACTGTGGCGCAATACTTGACTGCTGCGTAGAATGTTCAGCTTACCCCGCAGCGTGGTCTAGTGGCTGAGGTACTCGGCTGCTGACCCGCAGGTCTCGGGATCGAATGCCGGCTGCGGCGGCTGCATTTTCGCATGGAGGCGAAAACGCTGTAGGCCCGTGTGCTCAGATTTGGGGAGCACGTTAAAGAACCCCAGGTGGTCGAAATTGCCGGAGACCTCTACCACGGCGGTGGAGGGCTCCTGCATATTGTGGTTTCGGGACGTTCAACCACACATATCAATCAATCAAATCAGAATGTTTATTTATTTCAATTTATTTAGGCTGGATTTCTGCCGGGATCCTAATTATTATTCACTGCATTAGTCAGGTCAATGACGACGACGTCGTTTCTTTTTTCTTAACGCTTTCGTATCTAAATTATCGACGTTTGGTGTCGACGTTTCGGTGTAGATATCAGCTGTCAATCACCTGCGGCGGATATATGCCGCACGTGTATTGACAGTCCGGCCCATGGTAAGCGGGTATGAGGACACCCACCAATGGTATCGGCTGGTGCTGTTTAGAGGTAGAGTACCTAGTACTCATGTTTAGGGACGGCTTTATGCTCTTCCATAGTAGAGTACCTCGTGCTCTAAATCGTTGAAAACTTTTTCTAAACACATGTGGCACACGTATTTGGAGCAAATGCTTGGACGGCGTATACGCGACGATATTTTAGCGTTTGTCACGTCATGACAGGCCTGACAAACTCGTCAAACCATCACGCCGTCCCATACTAACATAGGTAAATCCCAACTCCACGGGGCGATCACGAAAGTGCCCGGACGTTGAGACGTATATCTCAACATGCCGTAACAAGCGGAAACTTCGATAAAGCGCACCAAAAAGTTGCGCGCATGTCGCATACCAACTTCGCCAATCTGCCTAACATTCTACACTTTCTCGGGGATATCCTATATGCTTACCTCAAACGCATCGACGTTACCACCGGTGTGGCACACACAATATGATAGCGCTGATTTTGTACAATCGGCCTCCTCACATCGTGGTTTTGCGCCGCTTTGGAATTGGCCACGAGGGCCTGCAAGGCCAACGCTGCGATCATTTTAACGTCACAGATGGGATGCGTGCGCTCGGCTTGCTCGCATCCACCCCCATGGCTGCACTGGTTCTTAGTAGCAATTTTACGATGCAAATTAGATACGAGAGTGCCACCGGGGGCACCGATTTGTAGTTTGTTAGCCCGCATTATCAGGTCTTACCACGTCTTTAAGTCCTGAGCTTCAAAGCAAAGAGGAGCACGCACGCCACAGAAAGAGCGCAAGAAATGCGGTCTTCTAGCAGGCAACACAACCCGGCATCCTATGAGTGACGTCATCACGTAGGTGGCGCCACGGTATGTCCTCGAGGCCATTATTGGTTTTCTCAGCAAATTCTTGCGGCACAACGCTCTTCTTTCGGCGCAACGACAACTTCCAGCTTCTGACAAGAATTTGTTGTGTGATCTAGTGATGGGACCTTTCAAATATAAAAACTTGCAGGGTTCTTATGCAATGACTCAACTGCGCACTGGCCCCGGCGCGGTAGTCTAGTGGCTAAGGTACTCGGCTGCTGACCCGCAGGTCGCGGGTTCGAATCCCGGCTGCGGCGGCTGCATTTCCGATGGAGGCGGAAATGGTGTAGGCCCGTGTTATCAGATTTGGGTGCACGTTAAAGAACCCCAGGTGGTCGAAATTTCCGGAGCCCTCCACTACGGCGTCTCCCATAATCATATGGCGCTTTTGGGACGTTAAACCCCACATATCAATCAATCATCAACTGCGCACTGTTGCTCAGTTACCAGGAATCTTTACCATTAAAGAAACTATGTGAGTTTCAAGACGGAAAAATCGGACGAATTTCACTTTTTTCGCAATATTGAGTTGGTCTAACAGGAACTACAGTATGTATTGCCAGTACCTTTGTCGGTGAGGCAAACGCAGCAACGGGAACCCTATATATACGAATGGGAATAGCTGCGTCACCGTGATACGCACGTCTTCAGGTTTCGCAGCAGCGGAACTAAATTTCTTAACCACTTTCGGCCGAGCCAATTCCTCACCTGCGCCATGCGCTTCCGCTGCTTTTCGAGCATCTTGTCGTCCCTCTCGGCCTTCTTGGCCGCCTTGCGGGTGAGCTTCTGGTAGCCCTTGCGACGCTTGTCCGCGTCCCGGAGCGCCTTCTCCTTGAGCCGCTGCACGAGCTTCTTGTTCAGGGCGCTCTGCTTGGACACAGCCTGGTCCAGGAACCGCAACACCTGCGTAACGTGGTATACAGTTGTAGACCCTTTTTGCTGATTACACAGTCCCCTAATGACATTCGATTTCGTTCACCGATGTTATAGTGCATAGAATATAGTTACTATGTTGTGCCGACCACGACCGTCGTGGTGGCACGGAGAATGATGCCTTCCAACCGGCGGCCACCAGACGGCGATAGCCGCACGGACCGTTCTATGCCGAGCCAATGGAACGCAGCGTGAGCACTCATTTATAGGAGCTCAGACGTGAGTATCGTCGAAGTGCACTTCGCGTAGCGATCATGTAAATATTGTCACGTGGTCGTGACGTGGCCGAAGACAGGAGATTTCATGTTGGGATTCGACTGTTCATTGACTAGGTTGCACGGCGGGCTTGTTGGTTATTCGTGTTGTTCGAGGTATAGCGCATCCAGGATGGGACAGAGAAGAAGACACAGAACACATACACGGCGCTATAACTTTCAACAATGCGGCATTGCTGTTTCTCGGATTAAACCGCATTGTTGAAAGTTGGCGCCGTGTATGTGTTCTGTGTCTTCTTCTCTGTCCCATCCTGGATGCGCTATACCTCGAACAACATGTTTATTGACGCCGCCGTCTCTCTGCCAACGTGCGCGTACGACAGGTGCCGATGGGCTCTCCCAGCCCACTTAGGACTGCAGAACACTGGTTGGGAGGCGATGCGTAATCAAAGGAATATTTTTTTTCGTTGCACTTTTACAAACGTACGTGCAACCCGTTATCAATAATGCGGTAATTCCCGATAAATTAACGCATACGCGTGGTTTGCGAGGGAAAAAGTCAACTTTAAGGAAGTTCGACAAAATTCAACAGCGAAACACGCGGCATTTTTGGTTGATTTAATTATGCCACAACATTTTGTTATTATAAGTCAATTTTTCTATTGCTCACAGGTAGGATGAGTTCTTCGCATGAACTTCAATTCTCCTATGACGTTGACGCTAGCTGAATTTATGAAACGTAAATAGTATAATTTGATAACTAATATGGTCTGAGTGCTACATCACATATCCTTTTTTTTTCAATATTTGAGGATTTTGGACACATTTAGGGAAACACCCGGTATGTATGCGAACATTGTCGTGTAGTGCAAGAAAAATAATGAATATTAACGGAACAACATTAAAGATCTCATTTTTTGGAATTCCGGTGTCGTCGACACCGGTTTAAGCGAGAAATCATCTTGGCCGTGAAAAGCAATCAAGAGTTGCAAATAATAATAAAGATACAAATTTTTAGTTTGAGTTTTTCACGAGGAATTTCACTGATGACACCATCGACTGTAATTTAGAAGTAGCGCTAAATGTAGCAATCACTAAAACGTTTGTCACTAACTACAGCCGCCGCAGCTAGCCTTCGATCATTTATGTTTTTGTCCTACTCTGCTCAGCGTTCTGGGTCCGCAGGGTCGCTGCATAATAAGATACGCTCGTTGGGTTAGAGCAGTATCCACTCTGGCAATAAGAAAACAAACGGGCGCTCTTCTTGCGCCTTTATTTAAGTGTGAATACACTTTATAAGCAACCCCAAACCATCCACCGCCGTCGGCGGCGTCCGCAGTCTTCTCTCTATCGTTAAAAGAAAGAGGACGTGGCGGGCCGCAGCGCGACGCTCTACCGAATAAGCCACGGACGCGACGCTGATATCGGTGTCAGTAACGCGCCTTATACCCCCTCCCCCTTCGCTCGCTCCTCCGCTCTCCTCGCTCGCTGCAGCTGCGCGCGCACCCCTCTCTCTCGCGCGCCCGCCTTCTCTCTCAGTCTCCCGTCGAGAGCGGGTCGTGAGGGGGAGTAAAGTTAAAATCCGTTTGGCATTCGCCAATGAGTTAACGTAAACTCCCCCGTGTGATCAAATTGCGATTCCCAGGAACCATTACACCATAAAGGCACCATGGTGTGATTAATAAATATAATAGTGCGAATTAATAAATACCCCTCATAGCATCACCCCGTGTATTCGCACTTAACCATGTTCACCCTCGGGGAAATGCTTGGGAGTTTTTTCTCCGACGACATCCCGGTTTCGTGAAGGGACACAAGCGTGAACAACGCACAACGAAAAGAAACACGGCAGACATGCCGAGGTATACGCTATGTGCGCAACAGTAGAAATTCCCCTCAACTACACCGCAACCGACTGGGTTAACGAACGCGCATCCGAAGTGCACCCAAAGCGCACGGATAGCACGGTCCCTAATGGGTGTCGCCGTCTGGTGGCCTCCAGAGGAAGGCATCATCAGTAGTGCTAGCATCTCACATTGGAAACGCTCGGCGGTCGGCACACTACTAAGTATGCTCTAGGCACTATACAGGTGTTCCAAATAGAGACGCGCGCTCTCGGTGCGCGCCGCCGCTCGGATAGCACGGTCCCTAATGGGTGTCGCCGTCTGATGGCCTCCGGAGGAAGGCATCATCGGCAGTGCCAGCGTCTCCCATTGGAAACGCTCGGCGGTCGGCACACTACTAAGTATATTCTAGGCATATACCGGTGCTCCTAAATAGCGAAGCGCGCTCTCGGTGCGCCCCGCCACTCGGATAGCACGGTCCCTAATGGGTGTCTCCGTCTGGTGGCCTCCAGAGGAAGGCATGCAAGATGTTATAAACTAGAAAGCGGTACTTGTAGTTGATGAAAGACGCGAGATCTTATAAAATAGGAATGATGTCACATATGGCGCGTGTCATTGGTTGAAGGCATCGTTCGATTTAGTGCGGCGACGTACGCTAGGGGGAGCGTTGTAATAAAATCCGTTCGCTGTTGGCGCGCGCTCGGAGTCGCCGGATGGATAAGGCTGCACAGCGGAGAGAGCGCAAAGCAACAGACCATAAAGCCGTCCTAATGACGGGACATCGCAAGCCATCTATCGTCTAAGAACAAAAAAGTTGATTTGTGTATATACACACACAGCGTTTTCTCACCGTCTTTACATGATGATCGATGGGCGAATTACTCGGAAGATTCACAGTTTACCGATGAATCCCTCCGGAGCTTCGCCCATTCATCATCATTCACCCCGTGAATATGCCGTAATTTTTTTTTTCGTTGCACTTTTACAAACGTACGTGCACCCCGTTATCAATAATGCGGTAATTCCCGATAAATTAATGCATACGCGTGGTTTGCGAGGAAAAATGTCAACTTTAAGGAAGTTCGACGAAATTCAACAGTGAAACACGCGGCATTTTTGGTTGATTTATATATGCCACAACATTTAGTTATTATCAGTCAATTTTTCTACTGCTCACAGGTGGGATGAGTTCTTCGCATGAACTTCAATTCTCCAATGACGTTGACGCTAACTGAATTTATTAAACGTAAATAGTATAATTTGATAACTAATATGGTCCGAGTGCTACATCACAATCCTTTTTTTCAATATTTGAGTATTTTAGACACATTTAGGGAAACACCCGGTATATATGCGAACATTGTCGTGTAGTGCAAAAAAAATAATGAATATTAACGGAACAGCATTAAAGATCTCATTTCTTGGAATTCTGGTGTCGTCGACGCCGGTTTAAGCGAGAAATCATCTTGGCCGTGAAAAGAAATCGAGAGTTGCAAATATTATTAAGGATACAAATTTTTAGTTTGAGTTTTTCACGAGGAATTTCGCTGATGACACCATCGACTGTAATTTAGAAGGAGCGCTAAATGTAGCAATCACTAAAATGTTTGTCACTAACGACAGCCGCCGCAGTTAGTCTTCGATCCTTTGGCTGCTGACCCGCAGGTCGCGGGTTCGAATCCCGGCTGCGGCGGCTGCGTTTCCGGTGGAGGCGCAAATGTTGTAGGCCCGTGTGCTCAGATTTGGGTGTACGTTAAAGAACCCCAGGTGGTCGAAATTTCCGGAGCCCTCCACTACGGCGTCTCTCATAATCATATAGCGGTTTTGGGACGTTAAACTCCACATATCAATCAGTCTTCGATCCTTTATGTTTTTGTCGTATACTCTGCTCAGCGTTCTGGGTCTGCAGGGTCGCTGCATAATAAGATGCACTCGTTGTTAGAGCAGTATCCACTCTGGCAATAAGAAAAAAAAAACAGGCGCTCTTTTTGCGCTTTTTTTTTTCTTCGACGACATCCCGGTTCGGTGAAGGGACACAAGCGTGAACAACGCGCACAGAAAAAAAAAACACAGCAAAGACATGCCGAGGTATACGCTATGTGCGCAACAGTAGAAATTCCCCTCAACTACACCGCAACCGACTGGGTGAACGAACGCGCATCCGAAGTGCACCCAAAGCGCAAGCGACGCGCGCTCTCGGTGCGCCCCGCCGCTCGAATAGCACGGTCCCTAATGGGTGTCACCGTCTGGTGGCCTCCAGAGGAAGGCATCATCGGCAGTGCCAGCATCTCCCATTGGAAACGCTCGGCGGTCGGCACACTACTAAGTATGCTCTAGGCATATACCGGTGCTCCTAAATAGCGAAGCGCGCTCTCGGTGCGCCCCGCCACTCGGATAGCACGGTCCCTAATGGGTGTCACCGTCTGGTGGCCTCCAGAGGAAGGCATCATCAGTAGTGCTAGCATCTCCCATTGGAAACGCTCGGCGGTCGGCACACTACTAAGTATATTCTAGGCACTATACAGGTGTTCCAAATAGAGACGAGCGCTCTCGGTGCGCCCCGCCGCTCGGATAGCACGGTCCCTAATGGGTGTCGCCGTCTGGTGGCCTCCGGAATAAGGCATCATCGGCAGTGCCAGCATCTCCCATTGAAACGCTCGGCGGTCGGCACACTACTAAGTATATTCTAGGCACTATACAGGTGTTCCAAATAGAGAACGCGCTCTCGGTGCGCCCCGCCGCTCGGATAGCACGGTACCTAATGGGTGTCGCCGTCTGGTGGCCTCCGGAATAAGGCATCATCGGCAGTGCCAGCATCTCCCATTGGAAACGCTCGGCGGTCGGCACACTACTAAGTATATTCTAGGCACTATACCGGTGTTCCAAAATAGCGACGCGCGCTCTCGGTGCG